GATTGGCCACCATCGCGTCCACCAAGGGGGACCGATGTCGACGTGGCCTTGGTCTGGCAAAGAGACACTGCAAATGGGTCCTTGCTGAGCAATTCCTCGAAGTTTGGTGGAGATATCACAAGTAACTCATGGCCGGTGCAAGCCTCTTCCACCTCAACTCCGTCCTCAGCCTGGACGCCAATTGCTTCTTCAACCTCCCTTTCTTCTTCATGTGGTATCACCCTTGGGAAATGATCAAGAACTCCTCCTGCTTCTCTTTCGTCATCCTCCACAACTTCTTTCTGCACCCTTGCTTGCTCTTCTTCTTCTAGCACGGATTGGAGAGCAAGTTGCCAAGAAATTTCTCTCATGAGATCTTCTTGCATCTCCTCACTCATGCCCACCTCTTCAAAGCTCAGTGTGGGGTGCGGGAAGGGGTGGTCGGCTACGACAGGACATTCTTGATCATGATCTTCACGGGAGCTCTCCGTGATAACTTCTGTTTGCTCCACAATGTCCTTGTAGCCTTCTTCTTCCTCGTCCTCTTCTAGTATGGTAGCAGACGGGTGATCTTGAGCAAGTTGTGCACAAACCTGCTCAACCCGCTCTGGTTGCTTTGATGAGTGCGAAACATTCTCCTCCGATTCACGGAGGGATGAAGAGTTAGGAGGAGCAAAGGATGAGAAAAGGAGGTCCATCTTGCGATTGCGTCTCTCGGAGTCCCGAACAAACTGCTCCAGGAGAAGCCTCAGTTCATAGTTTGGATCTGGCTGTGGAGTGTACCATGGCTCTGCAGAATGGCCCGTGAAGGCCGCCATGGGTAACTCCAGCGCCGATGGCCCTTCTGGTTGTGGGAGAAAGTCTTCTTGGTAATGAGATTGTTCTTGATATGCCCAGGGGTCAGATTGTTCTCCATAGAAAGGGGGTTGGTACTGGAACCCGGATCCATAGTCTTCTCCTCCTTGATTGCTCCAGGGGGCCTCGGGGTAATACCACTCGGACGGTGGTGGATACCCCCAATGATTGGAGAAGCCATGAGGATCCATGATTCAGATCTGCACCAACAAAAACAAAACACCCAAGTGAAAAGCAAGGGTGGAAAAGAAAAGAAAAACGCTAAAGTAACAAACTTCTGCCTTTCCTAATACTCTAGAAAGTCCCCGGCAACGGCGCCAAAAACTTGACTAGCTAAAACACAACTCCTAACAATGGCCAAGTGTAACCAATGAAAGGGACTGCAGTATAGTGGCTCAAGTAATAAATATCGAATCCACGGGTCTCTAGAGTTACTATTACTCAGCTTCAGTTCATTATCTAGCAAAACAGATTAAGATGAAAGAACTAAAACTACTTTAGCAAACTACAGTTAAAGTTAATCTAATTACAGGTTGGGAACTCACTTATGTATGATTCCCCCTAGCCACTAGCCAGATTAACGATCGATGATTTCTAACTTGTTTCACTTCATTCACAATGCGGAGAATCCTTGACTAGACCTTGAGTCTCGACTAAAGGAACAAGGCCCTCTTGAGTCAATTGCCTAGAGGGACGTATCCTTCTCTAGAACAATCGATCAAGGCGTTCTGAACTAGACTCCCTCTATCGAATGAGGTTCTCAATCGATACAAAGCAGTGAATCAACCCTCGACTAAAGCAATCATCCACTACTATCAATATATGGTGCTCTATTGACCTAATCAGGTATTCGCTCTCATAGGATCAAAGCAGAATCAATAATCTCGACTAAAGCAGAATTGAATCGTGAAAACATGCATAGATTGAATATGAACTCAAGATTATCAAGTCAGAGTACTCATACAATCATCCAATCAAACAAACATGGCTAGGGTTCCTCAAAACCTAAGTGAAGGGAAGTTACTCCATAGAGAAGAGAGAGACTGCAGTAAGAATCTTCAGATGATCAGTCTTCAAGTCCGGGCTTGTTCCTCGAGCTTCCAAGGCAAAGAAATCCTCCAATTCCACTCCAAGAATGCCCTCAAATCGCTCTCTCTCTCTCTTTGGTTCGTCCCTAGGGTGTTTGGGATCCAAAACCCAGCTCTCTCTCTCCAAAAATCGCAAAACAGCTTTTATACCCGCTGAAACTCGCACCCCCTACTTGCACGGCCGTGCAAATTGAGGTTTTGGCCGTGCAGACCCCTTGGGAAACCCGCACGGCCGTGCAGAATTTCACACGGCCGTGCACAATTTCCAGCATGCACTCCTAAGCTTCGTTGATCTCGTTTGAGCTCGTTTGACCTCCGATTCAGTCGCCGTTTGATCCCAGACGCTTGCATGATTCTTTGTCCATAAAGTGAGGTATAAATCCATTCTTCTTCAGGTCATGGCCGAGTTTCTTCTCCCGAATCGTCAATTGATCTCTGATTGACTTGAAACTTGCGCCTATACTTCACTTTATGTGCTAGGACCTGAAATGTGAGAAAGGAACACAACCTAGCATAAAATAGGCCAAAGACACGATAATTCAAGCTCAAACAATCAAGAAACAAAGGGGAAAACATGTGCAAATACCGAGTCATCAAAGTGGCAACAGGAATTGCATGCAATTTCAATCATAGATCCCGTTGTTACCAGAGGCTTGAAGTTATTGAGACGCAACACAGGGTAGCCATCTTTTACCATTTTGCTCAGTTCTTGCCTACAAATGTCATTGACCGGTTAAAACACATTTTTATTATTGTCTCCAGTTTGTTTTCGAGGAACAGCAAGTGGCATCGATTTTGGATACACGATGTTTAGGAGGTTGTTGATTTCTTATATGGTAAGGTTAGATCTCCTTCCATTTGACGTTGTTTATTTCTTATGCATAGCACCGAGAGTGCAACATTATAGAGAAGCTTAGAATTCTCACATAAGGTACCCTTTAGGGTATAAAACTTTCAGTTCCATAGGTTGTTTGGCTTTCAAGGGTTAGCTACACAATTAGAACAAAAACACTTTTAGTGTACTGTAAACAAAATAGTATTCCATATAGAGTTATCTGTGCGACTTTTAATAGAACTCCTGTGATTATGAAAAATAATGTTTCAAATAGAATTATTTGCTCCTTGTTGATAATGGCACTTTGATTGGTTTTCGTTCGATATGGAGTTGTAATGTTGTTGATATACTATTAACCAAGCAAGGCCATCACCCACTTTAAAGTAGAAAGCAAATGGAGTGGCATGTCTAATCTTTTTTCTTTGTTCGTCTGCATCTACTTGGATACATTGTAGAGCAACCATGAAGTGCAGGAGTGACTCCAAGATATTATGGTTAATGTCCAGTAGGGACAACTATACTTTTACATATTGCTCAGTTAACACTTATGAACAAGCTAAGCCCTAAACCGGTGCTCTCTTCTTAGTCTTTTACTCATAATTATAACGCTACTTCTATTATTTTGCCAACCGTAATAATGATCTTAACGCCTGCCGCAATTGGTCAGATAGGTAAAACTATTTAGTGGTTTTTCAGCCTTCTGTTTTTTGTCTTGACCTCAATTGAATGTGGATTAATAGAACTGTGTTTATGTTTGCAGCCTGATGCACAGGTGCAGGAGAATTTTATGGTTAGCCAGGAATTGGGAGTGCGGGTGTGCTTCGTTCTAACCTTATAAATCCCCCATACTAACGGTAAGTTGCATTACCACCATCCATCAGTTGATTAATTTCTTCTTGGTTGGATTTTGATTCATCTATAAAGCCATGAGAAATAGCTTTCGGGGGATCATATGCTTGCTGTATCGGAGTTTTACCATATTATTATATTTGTTCTTTATGTAAAAGCTTTTTTGTATCAAATTGCGAGTGTAGCTGAAATCAAACTTCTTACGTTGTTTTTGTATAAACTAAAAACCGATTCTTGCAATCCCTTCATGTTTCATATGGCATGTCGCCAATGACTCAGACCCATTTTTTAGCAGTACATTTTGTTCCTCTTCTTTTATGAAAAAATGCATTTTAGCCCCATGTTTGTGTATGTGAACATATGCGTTGTCTATTTGATTGATTTGACTTTTTATGCAAAATTCTTCAGGTTCATAGCATAACATGGCGCCATAAAGAACAACAGAAGAATTTCCTACATCAATCCAGCATTCATTCGAGGATTCAACTCTAGGATCAATCCAAAATTTGTTCAGGTTTTCATAAATTATCTGCACTCTTTTACTTTCATTCTTTGGACAACTCATTTGTGTTTTTAGGAGCTGTTGCGGTTGGATTGTCTTTAAAGTCTGAATGGTTGTTTGACTTAGTAAGATCTATGAATAAGCAACCTATTTTCCTTTTCAAACTTGTGGTTATGGACAACATTTTGTTCTCAATTTGCACATGTATTTCATTAGTTTCTTGATTCTTTCTCTATTTATTGGAACATCTTCTAGGTTCATTTTTACGATTCCTCATTTGGGTACACTTTTCAATTTTTCAGTTTGGTAACAATCACATGTTCTTCTCCTACTCACTCCTGCTTCTTCTTTCTAGATGGTGGTTTTTCTATCATTGAAGCTTTTACAACTTCGCTTGGGGTGTCGGTTCTCTCCAAGGCTGCTTGGATTTGAAAGGATACTTATGGGGTTCTTCAAAGGATGGAAATGTGCCCACACGCTCTTTCTGGATATCTTACTAGCTACCTACCTACCACGAGGTTTGTGACGCATTTCAGAATTTTATTTTTTCATCCTCATTTTTATAGATTAAATCGTTTAAGTTGAGACTTTATGAGCTTTCTACCATATGTTCATTATTTGACTGAATTCATCATAATTTATTGTTATGTTTTGTGAATCTTACTACTGTTTGTCTTCAAAGTGAATATGTAGAGCATATACCACTGTGATTTTTGATCTATCAAAAGATCCAATCGCATGATCAACTATACTTCAGGTTTAAACGTCTTCAGTCATCTTACTAATTTTTTGTTTTGATACTTGGGTGTGAGGCTGATCAGGAACCAGAATGGTCAAATAGTGGTTTTAGCTTCAAAATCGTCCGGCTATAAATGGCTTCATTGCTGGTGCCCTATTCTTCCCTTGACGGGGACCATGATTTGTGAGATGTAGCACCTGGGATCCATTCCGGCTATAAATCGTGCCCTATTCTTCACTTAACGGGGACCACGATTTGTGAGATGTAGCACCTGGGATCAATTCCATCTTCGTTGCTCTAGGGAGGAAACAACAATGATTTCGTGGTTCAACGACTTCCCTGTGTTGCAGGTCATGTTCCCTTTCTGTTAGGTTTGTTCCTTATCATTGATTCCCTATTTTTCTTCGCCAAGGATATTTATCGTTTTTTGCTTTATTGATTATAATTATAGGTAGATCGACGAAGTCTCTCCATGCCATGTCCCGTCTCTCTCATTTCTTGTAGTAGAATACTCTGTAGGGGTGGAGGGTCGCATTTGAGGTAAATAGTATATTTTGTTCATTTGATTCGAGGTTCCTCCTTTTCATATGACATTTTTTTGGTTTGCTCTGAGCAGTTGGTATCTTCCGAGTTTCATATGTAACACTACTCTTACGAGATACCTTATAGGCGGAGGAAGCTTGAATATGATCTCAGTACTGACTGCTGTGTTCTTGTCCTGACTGTGCTGAAGGGGTGCATCAGGGTCTACAAGTTACTGCCAAAGCTACTGCAACCATTATTGCTGAATGTCTTGATTATGCTTGAGCGAGTTTTACTTGTATGCTGAGATATTTTTATGTTTCGTTTTGATTTTTTGGTAGTCGTTTGTCTGTAGGTGTGGTGTGAGTGTCCGTTTTGCATCTGAACAAAAAAAAAAAAGTTTGTTGGGATTTGAGCTTGGTGTGCATGGTTGGTAAGAAAATTTTTTTACATAACTACACCAGAATTTTATTGTCTACCTCATTCTTGGATTCGATGTTCAATCGAATGCTGAGTTGTGGTGGTTTGTTCTATTTTCTTTCACTAACAATGGGGTTTGGAGTTTATACTAATGTTGAAGAGTTTCCTTGGTTTTGGTTCTTAAGGATGGATGTTCACGCATCCTAAATTATATTACGCAGTCAAGTTACTCCCAAACCACTTCAACTCTCAATAAAAATCTAAACTACCTTGGTGTTTTTCGTTATCAAGAGGCATGATTAGAAACAATCTCCATAGACTTTTGTCCCTTTGAGTACGTGTTCATTGATTACCAGATTATTAATCACTAAATAATTTCCTCATTCAACTCAAGTGATTGTATAAGGGGGAAGCTGTAGCTGTCGTTGTTGGGAAGAGGAGACGATGGAATGGAAGATAGTGAGAGTAATGGCAATTCTGCATGGTGTGTGCAGTGATTTTTTCAGCCGAGTTTATGTTATGATGCTATCCTAACTACCATGGCCTTTCACATGGTGTTTTTAATGACTGCATTGTTGTTGTGTCGAGAATGTTAATATGTGCGGAGTAGGATCTTAATGCATCCAAATATTATTTCTATTTCACTATGTTCATGTCCATTCAAATGTTAGAATGAGAAGTAATTATACTTTTAGAGTTATTAGGATATAATTGATATCTTTACCTTAAGCGTATAATACATCTTCACATTGGAAATGGATACCAATTAAACATGTTACAAATCTCCTGACGCGAGGTACATGTGGTTCACTTGGGTACCAATTCAAAGGTTCACACTACAAGAAGAATGACTTTTAACAGCTAAGTGTATTTGTTACGATAAGTGATTTATGTGCCTCAATAGCTTTATAGTGGCACATAAATGTGTGCTGTCAATACTGCTGCCGCTAATTGTCTTTAGAAGCAGATGTTAGCGGCAAATATTATCTGCTGCTAATTTATGAATTTGCGACAAATAGTTGTGTTGCTAATTTCATTTTTGAATGACTATTTTATTGTCTTCTTTTCTCACTTTAGTAGCACAAATATTTGAGGCTAATCTATATTTAGTAACAAATATTTATGCCTTTGTAGTTCATTTTGAGAATTATTATATTACCCTTTTAAATAAATTTATGGCTATATATGTGCCTCGAATGTTTTTTTATACAAATTTTGCTAATTTTACCTCCATATATTAAAAAATAGATATAAATAATATGAAAATGATCTTTATTATATATACATACTACTAGTAACCGTGTAACAATTGGATTCGGCGAAGAAATTATTGACAATGGTATAAACATCTCAACTCATAACACTAACAACTGGATTCTATATCCCTCTCGTTCACGATGATTGAAAATAATTAGTCATGTAGCATACTTCAAGTTCAGTTGGGGCAGCCTGGAAACCTTTGTACTAATTAGTAATCTCCTTCAATTGCTCAACAATGAAGCGTTCATGATAGTCATCGTCAATGTAGTCTCATTCCACCCTTCTATGTGAACTCAGGGTAATTAAACCTAATAAAACTGAAACAAAAAATTGATTTTGATTGCGGGTTAGCTTGAAAGGAAATGAAGGGGAAACAATACATCTAGAAATTGGTAACTAAATTACCATTCTTGATTTGATGGCCTCGGATGCGATCTCTCTAGGCTAGTTCTTGAAAGGGTAGGAACCAATTTCAGGAGTGGAAATCATAACTCCATGATGCAAACCTGATGGTGGAAGGGAAAATCCAAAGCGAAATTACAAAGGATAAACCACAAAGAAGACGCATCACATGATGGTGGAAGCGGATGTTAGAGACGCAATGGAGTTCGACGGTAATTTACGCTGGACGTTTGTCAAGATGTTCAAGGAAAGTAAATAGGGGAGGGTACTATATTATATTACTCACGTCGGTTTCTGTGAGTGTCGCTTAAGTCTGAACAAGTGCTTATCGATATTCATGATCCGCCGGTTTGATCTCGTCGGAAGTGGCCACAACGCCATGATGGAAAAATAATAAAGAACCTGGTTGCAGGAAAGAATTAGGGATTCATAATTAGGGTTACACAGGAGTTAGAAATAAGAACAAACACATATAATGGGTCTTCAGTCTTCACCCTGAGATTACGGGTGATGGGCCGAGTTTATCTACCATCTCTCTCCTTTTTTAAACAATCACGTATAGAATTAATAAATCATAATTTATGTGGATAATATTATCATTTAAAGCAATTCTAATAGTATTTTAACAAAAGATAGTAATGGGATCCGAGGCGGATTAATTTGCTGGAAAAAATTTCTTTAGAGGCACATTAATTATCTGTCGCGGGAATTGTTATCACTATATATTAAAAAGCAATAACAAATTAACAACTATTTTATTTGCCTCTAATCTAAATAGTTTATTCTCTACATCCGATAAAAAAACGAGCCAAGACTTTAGAAGGCAATAGTAGGAATTTGTTGCCAAATATAATAATTTACTTTCATTGATATTAATATATAAAAAAAACTTAAATTATCAGCGACAGTTTTTTTAACTTTTATAAGTAATAGTGCTCTTACTGGGTGTTTTAATAAAATAATAATAATAATAATAATAATAATTCTCCGGCCAACACCCTCAGGCCTTTAGTCTCGTCTCCTCTCCATCCGACCAAAACACCCTTCTCCTCCGACCTCCGGCGCCGCTTTCTTTTCTCCCAGCTCGATTTTCATCCAATCCAATACCTATCTGAAGGCCGCGCAGCAGCTACTACGTCAGCGTCCCGCCTATCGGTTGCGTTGTTTTAACCCTAACATTTTTTTTCCTGTCAAGAAAGTAGAATCCGTAATAGCTTTCGATTGGCCAACGGGGTCGTCGTGGTAGCTCTTCCACCATAAACCGGCCCCTCCAGTTCTCAATCTGTTTTGGAATAGAGCTTTATTTGATCGACGCCGCCGATTCTGTTATCAACAGGTCATTGTGATCTTTTGCTTCAAAGTTCAGCCAAATTGAGCTGCAACCTTTTTGTTTCTCTTATTTACCTTTGCTTGGGTTTAGCAGGTGGCGTATCTGAAGGTATTCGCAAGTTCCTGGGGCAGTAAAGGTCTGTACTTTGGCCACTATACTTTGTTGCTCCTCAAATTTTGGCTGCCTTTTGTTTTGTTCAATATATGTGAGATTCCAGCTTTTTCCTTAGAGTTGATTTTCAGTCTTTTACCCACCATTGCTTCCATGTGATAAGGTGCCTAGCTATCAGCTGCTCATTCAGTCTTGCGGTTACTGAAGACTTGTCTCCACATTGGTGACTTATGGGTCCTTTGCCTGATAACACTGCCGATGGATCAGTGACCAACATGGAGCAGTTTCTTTGCGAACGATTAGTTGACCCCTCCCAGCCAATATCTGAAAGGTTCAGGGTCCTCTTTTCGCTTCGTAACCTCAAAGGCCCCGGACCTCGGGCTGCTCTTATTCGAGGTTGGCTTTTGTTCCTCCTCCTTCTATCACTCGGTAGGACTAAGTCTGGTGAATGTTAGCATCCGCAACATTGAGAAACTAGATCGTTGTTGCTGTTGTTAGTTAAGAATCATAACCTTTTGTGGGGTGATTGATGGAATGTCCAAGACTTACCTTATTGTTGGGTCCAACCTTTTAAGCTTGCATCTTTTGTTTCTCTCCAAGAGTGTGATCATTTATTTATCATGAATATGGTGATATCGAAGTGCTATAGCTGCTAATTCTGTTGAGGTATGGTAATACTAGATGCTGGTTCAGGCTAATAAGACAGGTGAATGTCACTCTTACCAATCATGGGTAGCAGAAGATTGAGAACTTCATGACCATTGCGATTTTGTTTGTGCCTTTGTGGCTTATCTTTTTTTCTATTTGAATCCTCCAAATTTGTGGGCATAGAATTGACTATTTTGTCCTTTTGGTCATCTGGACATATCTGGATTTGAACTGCTGGAAGGTATTTTTGAACAGTGTCTAATTGTTGTATGCTTCTTCTGATTTTGATTAAGGTTGCATTGATTTTTCTTTTGCATGATTAGCAACAAGGGACTCCTCTAATTTGTTGGCACACGAGGCTGCATTTGCATTAGGCCAAATGCAGGACTCTGAGGCTATCCCAGCTCTGGAAGCAGTTCTAAATGATCTCTCTTTGCACCCAATTGTTCGCCATGAGGTGGTGAACGTTCTCAATCTTTTCTCCTTTCTAATATTGTTGATCGGGTGGTGTCTAAGTATATGTTTTCTCTCTCTTTTTCTTACAGGCTGCAGAAGCCCTTGGTGCAATTGGGTTGGAGAGTAATATACCACTTCTGAAGAGAAGTTTGGTTGTAGATCCAGCTCAGGAGGTCAGAGAAACTTGTGAACTGGCTCTCAACAGAATTCAGGAGATGAATGCTGCAAATGGCGGTGATCAATCAGCCGCAATGGATAAGTCCCCCTTTTTGTCAGTTGATCCAGCTGCACCAGCATCCTCTTGTTCTTCTGTCAATGAGCTCAGGTATTGTCTTTTTCTGGTTTAGATTGAAACCCTATCAAACTACTTACTTTGTATCTTATCCAAAAACTACTTCCACGAATAATAATAAACCTCCTTTAGGGAAGTTCTTCTTGACGAGGAAAAAGCTATGTATGAACGATATGGGGCTCTTTTTGCACTCCGTAACCATGGTGGAGATGAAGCTGTTTCTGCTATAATAGATTCATTACAGTCCAAGAGTGCCCTGCTTAAGCACGAGGTTTGTTAGTTTTCCTTTGCATTAACTGTTTTATGTAGTTTGGTAGGCCTTAGGACTTCTTTGTTTAAACAGCCAGTCCAGTAGCTACTTGAGCTTTAGGGATGATGGGCCAACCTTATTTCTCTGATTTATATAGTTCTGGTTTCTTCCACGTTTCAGGTTGCCTATGTTTTGGGCCAGTTACAAAACAAAGCTACTTCAGCTGCACTTAGCGCCGTACTTGGGGATGAAAACGAACATCCAATGGTTAGACATGAAGCTGCTGAAGCTCTTGGTTCGATTGCTGGTTCGTCATCGCGCTTCCCCTAAATTTGTCTTTTAAATTGTTGCTCTTACTGTTTAAAATGCTCAATAGCAGTACGCTTAGCATTCCCCGACTTCTGGTACGGGCGAAGGATCCATACTAATGAGTTTCATAATTGCCCTGTAGATGGTAAAAGCATTGCACTTCTGGAGGAATTCTCAAAGGACCCTGAGCCTATCGTCTCACAGAGCTGTGAAGTCGCCCTAAGCATGCTGGAATACGAAAGATCAGGAAAATCTTTCGAGGTACATTTCCTTTCCCTTCTTCCTTTCTCGCTTGTCAAATACTACGTACAAACATCTTCGTGCAAAACTGACTGCTCCTGTATCTTTTTGCAGTACCTCTTCATGCGAGATCCACTAGCACAGGCTTAAACTAGTCATGACTCTTCCTGCAAATTTTCAAAGCTGCTAAACCTCAAAACAGTCGGTAGTCCTTGACTGAAGCAGTTTATAGCTTTCAATACACAACAGCATCTATCTTTTCTTGTCGAGATGATATGTTGATTTAAGTTTGATATGAACAGTCAATACCATGAACTCATTAATTTATCTAAGCTTTACCAAAACTGTAATACAAGCTAGAATTGGAAGAATCAGATCCGAGAAGGCCCTAAATTTGTTTTTCTGTTTGCTGTTCTTACTGTTCGTTCGCTCTACCCTTAAACACCAACTATAAGATTTTTTGCCTGGATGGATGAGTTTTTCCATGGCTGGATGAGTGAACTGAAAAGAGAAGGGCCAAGTGACCGATTGCTCAAAATCTAATTATTTTATCAACAATATTGTAGTTGATTAGCACTCTGGTCTCTGTAACGTTTCTTTGTTGGAAGTGTTTTTGTTCGAGTCTCCTGTACCATACCAGAATTAGTTACCTAAATAACAAGGGTGGAACCTAAAACTTTGGGCACCCCGTAGATTATTGTTCTGTTAGACTCTTACTAGTTAATCACAACATATAATTACACTGTAATTAACGTTTACTCACTCAATACACAGCCAATGCTGCAACATCCCTGATTTCTCTGATCACTTCATCCCTTCCCATTGTGCGATTTCCATTAATTATCCCACAAACTCACATAATGACAATAACTGACAGCAACTAATCGAGCAGCATAATTCAGTCGCCATTCGATCAACGATCACCCCCTCACTTTTCCCATTGGATCCATAGCAACAATGTTATGGCCCGTGACAGGGTTTCGGAAACTCAAAATTCCAGGACAAATTACCGGCCTCTTCCAAGTGTTAAATCGCGGTACTTGTTTCTCTTGGATCCTGTCTTCCAACTATATAAAGCACGTTTCAGGAGTTGCCAATGCAGCACAACACAACCTTGCAGAACAAAACAAAACTCTTCTGGGTTCCCTACTTCTTTCTACATTCAGTCAAAAATGGAGAACAAGATTATGTTGACAGGTCTTGTAGTAATGTTGATCAGCCTTGACTCAGTCCCCGCATCCGTCTACGGAGAAGCCGATTTGGATACTTACATTGTGTTCTTGCAGAAACCAGAAGGCCTCTCCTTACTTGCAGATGGGGAATTGGACTCATGGTACAGCACATTCCTTCCTGATACTCTGCTGGCGAGCTCATCCACGACCCGATTGATCCATTCCTACCGCAATGTCGCGACAGGGTTCGCGGCGAAGCTGACCAAGGAGGAAATGAAGGCCATGGAGAAGAAGGATGGGTTCATCTCGGCTCAGCGCGAAAGGATGTACAGTCTGCACACAACTCGCACTCCCGGATTCTTGGGATTGCAGCTCAACACCGGTTTGTGGAACGGTTCGAACAATGGGAAGGGTGTGATCATCGGAGTTCTGGACACCGGCGTCACGCCTAACCATCCTTCATTCAACGACATGCACATGCCCTCCCCGCCTGCCAAATGGAAGGGCAAATGCCAGCTACCGAAATGCAATAACAAGCTCATCGGGGCGAGGAATCTCGTCTCGGATTCCTACGCCATCGATGATGAAGGCCACGGCACCCACACTTCCAGCACGGCTGCTGGAAGCCCTGTGTGGGCGAGTGCCTTTGGGCAAGCTAGCGGCGTGGCCTTTGGGATGGCGCCGCTAGCTCACATTGCAATCTACAAAGTCTGCAGCGAAGAGGGTTGCACTGGAGGTGCTATACTAGCAGGAATGGACGCTGCAGCAGCGGATGGCGTCCACGTGCTGTCGCTCTCCCTGGGCCTGCCTTCAGAATCTTTCCCCGATGACCCGATCGCGGTTGGTGCGTTCCGAGCGATCCAGAAGGGGATTTTTGTCAGCTGCTCTGCTGGAAATGCTGGACCTGCAAGCGCTTCGTCGGCCAACGAGGCCCCCTGGATTCTAACAGTTGGAGCTAGTACGATCGATAGGAAGATTAAGGCCACCGTTTTGCTTGGAAACAAAGCAGGCTATGATGGCCAATCCCTGTTTCAGGATAAAAAATTCCGTCCCCGGTTGTTGCCTCTTGCGTACAGGGGCGAATGGCAGAGCAGTTTCCAGATTCTGTGTCCCTGGCTCGTTGTACAAATCCGTCAGGGGAAAAATCGTCTTGTGCGAAAGAGGAGGAGAAATTGCTAGAATTGCCAAGGGGCAGGAATTGAAGGACAATGACGGAGCTGCCATGATCCTGATGAATGATCAACAGAGCGGCTTCGACACACTAGCCGATGCTCATGTCCTCCCTGCATCCCATGTCAGCTTCTCCGCTGGCGTGGCGATCAAGGCATACCTGAACTCCACCAAATCACCAAAGGCCACAATCCTTTTCAACGGAACTATATTTGGCAACCCGAATGCTCCAATGGTTGCCTCTTTCTCCTCGAGGGGTCCCAGCCGGGCGAGTCCTGGAATCCTGAAACCAGACATCATTGGCCCTGGAGTGAATATCTTGGCAGCTTGGTCTGTGTCGGTTGATAACATAACCAACCCGCTGTTCAACATTATATCAGGGCGCCCCAGATCCTCTAAACACACCTCAGAAGAGCAGAAACACGAGAGAGTGAATTCATAGAGCTCCGGTTTTTCGCACAAAACCGATGAGTAAGAAAATTAGAATGACTGTTTTATCCTGGAGGAGACCGGCTAATAGTCTACTGTGCGCAATACGAGGCAGTGCCGCGAACGACTTAAAGAGAGCGACCTAGTCTGCGACTCAGCCAGATCGATAACCCTAATTTTTCTGTTCGGTTTCTAACAACTACCACCTCCCCGACGAATCTCGGAGGGAAGCCAATCCTCGACGAACAGCTTCGCCCTGCTGGCTGCTAACTTGTTCGATACCGGTGCGGGGCATGTCAATCCAGTAGTGGCTGCTGATCCTGGGCTCGTTTATGACCTGCAGCCAAACGACTACATTCCTTATCTGTGCGGGTTGGGATACAAGGAGAGCGTGATTCTGGGGATCTTACAGCGCAAGGCACACTGTGGGAATTCGAGCATTCCTGAGGCTCAGCTCAACTATCCTTCGTTCTCGATCAGGTTGGCTTCTACTCCCCTGACATTCTTGAGAACTGTGACGAACGTTGGCCGGGCCAATTCGGTGTACGTAGCTAAAGTTGTGCTACCAAGAGGAGTTGATGTGAAGGTGCATCCAAAGAAGATTGTCTTCAATCGGTTGAAGCAGAAGGCCACATTTACTGTAACGTTTACCAGCAAGGGGAAATCTGCTGAATCTTACTCCCAGGGTTTCTTGTACTGGCTGACTCAAGGTTACGTTGTGAAGAGTCCAATTGCCGTGGTATCCGGGTAAGGAAACTTGGTGGATTTCGGTTCCTGCAAATTTTCTGAAGATAGCCAGTTGGTTTGTTAACAAAAGGTTTTAGTACATTTTAATGTTCATCAAACGATTGGTGGTGCTTGATTGCCACTCATAGTGGTGGTATGTGAGAATGCAAATGTATGCATTCTCTCTTGGTTCTATTTCCCGTTAGTTTTAAGCAACAAATGGAACGGTCGCCTAGTTTTTCGTATTAAAAGTAGTAAAGTTATGTATTGTGTTTTTACTAGCATGCCATTTTATAAAAAGAAATTAATTCCAGAGTAAACATCATTAAAGAACTCGTTCCTACTAGGGCTGGCTATTTGGTTTTACCCGAAATCGGACTGTATCCGAAATCGGTTCGGAACCGGATAGGAAACAATCCAATTCAATTTTCGGGCCTAGATTTGAGGTAAAAAACCGTTTGGGACCGGACCGAAAATCGAATAAAGACCGGATAAGAGAGCCCAACACTCAAAATTTAACATTCTCACCCTTTCAAGCCTTAGGCCACTCAAATCCCCACAAGTTAAATTTAAAATCAAGACTGAATTGGAACCGAACCGGATCAAGACCGGACTGTATACAATCCAATCTTTGGTCCTTATATTCTCGAAAAGACCGAACCGGAACCGGATCAATTTATACCAACTTAATCTGACCAGACCGTATAGCCACCCCTATTTCCTACTAATAACTCAAATTAATAGAGTTCCAACATTAAATTTTTATTTATTATTAATTTATAAACCCTTCTCAAACGAAACCATTTCAAACGTGATGATTACTCATGTCAATATCATACATGACTTTACTTGCATCCATGGCTTTTTATTTGATAGGTCGGATGAAAAAGGCTTTGATTTAATACTAGATAATTGGCCCGCGCTTCATAGCGAATTGTGAAAAGATGTTTAGTTAATTCAGTTGGCAATGAAGAAAGATATTTTCTTAGGTGTTCTTAAAATATCGAACAAACTTACTAAGTTGAAGCTGCTAAGTCTGCATTTCGACCATCCAATCCCTCCAATCTGAATCCAATCAAAGTCCTTCGTGTCAAGTTGGTACACTATGTTGGCCAGAGGGTAGTCGGCTAGAAATCAGCGGGTTCATGACTTGGTCGCTTTGATTTCTCCTTATGAATCAAGGTCTCACCAGGTCAAACCGTGGCAACGGTCAACCGAAAAATGGAGAAAACGAGCTCTTCTCCTTTCTAACACAAATCGATTTCAGGCCTCCAATCTAATTCAACCGCGCTCCTTCCAGACACGGAATTAGTGGGATTTATATATTAATTATTTGGGTGCTCCTATGGTGCTATGCAAGTAGCAAGTCACCGTAACTTTGGAGCTCACTTCGAGAAATATGGATGAGATTCGAGTCCAGGAGCCTCTACCACATGAAAGTAGGTATGTTTGTATACAAATTCAAGGAATTGGATGAAATATTGGATATCTTGAAGGCTTTAAACAAAACGCTCGAAGTTGCTATTCGTAGAGGCTAAATCCGGAAATGTGTTTGTGAAGCCTACTTTGGAGCTCAATTCGAGAAGCATGGATGAGATTCGAACCGAAGGACCTCTACCACATGAAAGTATGTATGTTTTTCTACAAAGGAAAGACATTGGATAAAATATTGGATATCTTGAAGGCTTTAAACAAAACGCTCGAAGTTGCAAGTCGTCGTCACCGTTCCCTCCGCAGATCTTCAAAAACAGCATCGTATCTCCCTTTCAGTTCCAAAACCCAACAATTTTCAATTTTATTTTTTTGAAAAGTTTTTGAATACCAGACGGTCATAAGTCAAAAATCGGTCAAACGATTCGAGCGGTTAACCTTTCCGGCTGCTCACTGGTCGCCCTTTCTGACTGCTGCAGCGTTTTGTGTTTTACGGACGAGATTGGAGGTCGGGTATCGGTTTTACTGGTCCGGCTTTAATTACACTACTTTGTTGTCTTTTATTTTAGTCTTTTATTTTTTCCGCCTTTGACGACAGTTGTAAAAACTTCTTATTTTTTATTTTATTTTTTCTTCTCATAAAATAACTCTGCATTTGATAAGAATGAAAATACCTAGAAGATCTTATCAATAAAAGCTAATTTTTACTTATAATGTTAATAAATTGGACACCTTTTGAAATATGGTATACCTAAAATTCCTCATTTTTAGCCCTCCATAAACACAAAATTCTTTCAAAATCCAGCAAAACGAGAGATTGTGCTGAAATTTCTCGTACAAATCTACAACCAAACAAGCCCCATGTATTTCTCCTCTGTTGGGAACTAGTAGCCGGGAGACAGGGAGCAGCCGCATGACAGCAAGCATCCAGTGGCATGCTCCGCCGCAGGGATGGGTCAAATTAATCATTGATGGCGCTTCGGCAGGAAACCTAGGGCTTGCTAGTGCGGGCGGTCTGATTCGCGATGCCCAAGGTCGATGGGTTGCAGGCTTTATGGCAAAGATAGGAGAGGCCTCTGCTGCCCTTGCGGAGCTCTGGGCCTTCTACCATCGCCTTAACATTGATTGTAGCAATCTTGTGCTCGAGACGGATTCTCAACTGGCGATTCTCCTCATCAACAATCGTCATGATCCGGTGCACCCTTATACAGCTCTTCTAGCTTCTATCCGGCGGAGACTAGCTCAGGATTGGTTGGTTAGTATAGTTCATACATACCGGGAAGGGAATAGAATGGCAAACTGGCTCTCGAAGCACAGTCTCATCTATCCCTACGGTATGCATGAACTGACTAATCCACCTAGAGAGCTCGGTCAGATTTTACAGGATGATAATATGGGGTTTCTTTTGATCGCCAAGTTGTGGCTTCCTCCTCCTCTTAGCTCTCTGTTTCTCTCCCTCTAGTTTTCTTGTTTCTTAGATTCAGCCTCCAATCATGAAAAAAAAAAAAAGCACCCCGAACGGTTACTCATTAATAATCAAGCGGGGATTGAACCCCAACCAAATCAATATACAACCTTGTTTATTAGAATGTGACAAAACAATTAACAACAAATTTAATATTTATCTTGCTTGAAGGAGACCTACCATATAGGGATGGCAACAAAACCCGAACCCACGGGTACCCACCCGACCCAACCCGGTCAACGCGGGTAAAATCCGTGTTGACGGGTTTTGGGCCGGGTTTGGGTTTAAACCCGTTCACTATTCACCGGGTTGGGTTGGGTTTAGGTAAATCCGACCCGTGGGTACCCGCCCACCCATATAATTAATTTTTCCGGTAAATTTAATATTCTAAACAACTAATCTTATTTATCTTTGTGGAGACATGTCTAATTTTTTCTTTTTAATTGTGTAGAATGAAGTTGATGTTATGGAGTTGAGAGTAAAGAAACTTAATTGAAATGAAGAAGCTTTCAATTAAACATGTTATTTATGGATAATTTGTGATTTGCTTCAATTTTCTTGAGTTTTCTAGATTGGTGTTGAACAATTTGTATAGTTAATTTGTGATTTGCTTGAATTTTCTAGAATGGTGTTTTATATATGGATAATTTGTATTGCGAGATTGATATTTGACTTTAATTTTGATAAAAACTTGTAATTGTAAATTTTTTACGACAAAACCCGTGGGTACCCATGAACCCGCGGATACCCAACGGGTTGGGTTGGGTTTGAGTTTTTCAAACCCAGTGGGTTTTACCCCGGGTTTTTTTCAAAGATAAACCCATGGGTTTGGGTTTGGGTTTGGCAAAACCCGACCCAACCCGACCCATTGCCATCCCTACTACCATATTGTTATGTTACTTTTGTTCCTAGAATGACGGTGGGTTGGTGGGCCCTGCCTTAGGAATGTTGTTAGTTGGTCTGTGTGCTTTTGGATTGTGTAGTTTTTAGTTCGGTATCACAAGTCGTGAAGTGGACAACACATAAAGTGGCACTTAATGTCCTATTGCTGTCTCCTCCAAAGTTAGTTTTCTTTGATTTTTTAGTTTGACTGCACTAATATGGTGCTTTGGGAGGGTTCCTCTTAAATGATGTTTGGTTTTTTATTCTTTCTAATGTTCTCTTGTTATATCTTGGGTGGGAGAGGGGGGAATCGACTACTTAGCACAAACGGTCAAATTGACAAACAAATATGAGTAGTTTGGTATTTGTAATTGTTAGAATCGATGTATTCTATGAATACAGCCATTATACATGGATCTATTTGTTATATAGTGCATTTTAAAATTACATATGATAGTTGTGATTATAGTTTTGAGGAATAAAATAGGGAAGTCACTTTTTAAATGAAAAGAATAATGGTTTTACAATCTCAAAATACATTCTGAACAACAAGTTGAGATTTTAAATCACTTATTTTGAATGATTTCAAGTGTCATGACTATAATCAAATACATGTTTTATATTTAATTCTAAAACAAACACAACAATTTCTATACAATACATCTATTCATAAATCATTACATACAACATTAGAGGTCGTTTGGAGGTTGGGATTCTCCAAATTGATGTATTTAATCAATTTGTGTATTATAATATGATACATTGATTAAATGTATGAATTTGGAAAATACTTTGTTTGGAGGTTCAAATTGTGTTTTTATTATAAATTAAAGGTAGTATATGTTTCATAATCAATGACATATTTGCCATGACATATTTGCCATTCATTTACCAGAGAGAGATGAGTTGTAGAAGAGGGCACTTTTGGAATAGAGAAAAGTTGTAAGAGACAAAGATTAAACAAAAATTGGGTTGACAATCTCTCGTAAACAATATAACCTTTTGGTAGAGATTGATAATCACTCATTTTGAGTGATTGTAGGTGGGCCCATAAAGAGGTAATCCATGTATTCTAGTACAAATTTAACAACAAAAAATAAAAATGAATTAATCTTCACATGTATCTATACTATATATTATGGCAATTCAAAAAAAAATTCTTGCCACATAAGCACTTGGAGGATCCACAATTTGCCAAGTTGGACAACTTTTTTACAAACAAAAAATTAGTTATTAATGTATTTATG